AGATAGATAGATAGATAGATAGATAGATAGATAGATAGATAGATAGATAGATAGATAGATAGATAGATAGATAGATAGATAGATGATAGACAGATAGACAGACTGAGTTTCAGCACCATGGACAGCTCCATCTTTTTTCCCATTTTATTATTTATGCTTTATTACATCATCAAGATTGGTTTATTGTGTTTTTAACTGTATGTAAATAAAATATTATAAAAGCACACTCATGTCAGTTCATAACCTGATAAAATCCTCTCTGTTCAGATTAGTTTTAAACGAGTACAACAGGAAAATGTGGAAGTCCACAATTGGACAAAAGTTCTCAGCTGGTCTTTAATTACTTCGGCGCATCATGAACAGACYCCTCAGATGAGTGGTTTCCCCTTGTGCGCTGCTGAGCGCTGACACCACGCACGGAGTAGGCGTCATTGTGCACGCGCCGAGCTCTGCTTAGGTTGTGTCAGGCTGGGGGGACTCCCCTCTCATTGCGCTCAGAAGAACATCTCGGACTGACAGAGCCGCGCACAGGCAGCCGGGTCACACGACCGGACCGGCGGGGTTTTATTCAATATGCTCGCATCACCGCCCTCTGCGTCCCAGTCCTCCCGCGCGCACAGTCTCCCTTTAAGGCGCTCAGTTGTCTCTTTTCCCGCGCTCCGCTCCGCGCATCAAGGCGGCAGCCCGGCGGGTCAGTGTGGAGGAGTCGGTGACCGGCTGAGTGCCGAGCCCGTCCCCGCGCGCGTAGCAATGGATTGCTTTACTTGAGGAGGGAACATGGAGAACCCAGCCAAGTATCTCTCCTCGGTGCAGGGGATCGATTCCGTGCCGGCACCCCTCGGAGAGCTCATGATGTGGAACAGCACCGAGACGGAGGCGACGAGCGACGGGAGGACGGACATGGTGGCGCGCACGGTGACGGGCTGCCTCCTGTCCCTGCTCATCCTGTGGACCCTGYTGGGGAACATCCTGGTGTGCTCCGCCGTGCTGCGCTTTCGGCACCTGCGGACCAAAGTCACCAACATCTTCATCGTCTCCCTGGCTCTGTCGGATTTATTCGTGGCCGTGCTGGTGATGCCGTGGAAAGCCGTGGCAGAGGTAGCCGGGTACTGGCCGTTTGGCACTTTTTGCAACATCTGGGTCGCTTTTGACATCATGTGCTCCACCGCCTCCATCCTCAACCTGTGCATCATCAGCGTGGACAGATACTGGGCCATCTCGAGCCCCTTCCGCTACGAGAGGAAAATGACCCAGCGGGTGGCCTTTGTTATGATCAGCATCACTTGGACGTTGTCTGTGCTCATCTCATTCATCCCGGTGCAGCTGAACTGGCACAAAGCCACGGCTGAAGACATCCTGACGGCCGCGGCGCACAACTCTTCCTCCACAGGTCGCCAGCTGGAGGAGAACTGCGACTCCAGCCTGAGCAGGGAGTACGCCATCTCCTCCTCGCTGATAAGTTTCTACATCCCCGTGGCAATCATGATTGTAACCTACACCAGGATATACCGGATCGCTCAGATCCAAATCCGGAGGATCGCGTCGCTGGAGCGCGCGGCGGAGCACGCGCAAAGTTGCAGGACGAACCGAATCGAGTGCCAGCACCACAACACCTTGAAGACGTCGATCAAGCGGGAAACCAAAGTGTTCAAAACGCTGTCGGTGATCATGGGGGTGTTTGTGTGCTGCTGGTTGCCTTTCTTCGTGCTGAACTGCATGGTGCCGTTCTGTGACAGGCCCGCGGCGGGCCGGGACGCGGGCCTGCCGTGCGTCAGCGAGACCACGTTCGACGTGTTCGTGTGGTTCGGCTGGGCCAACTCCTCCCTGAACCCCATCATCTACGCCTTCAACGCAGACTTCAGGAAGGCCTTCGCCAGCCTGCTGGGCTGCCGCTACTTCTGCTCCAGCACCCCGGTGGAGACGGTCAACATCAGCAACGAGCTGGTCTCCTACAACCAGGACACCATCATCCACAAGGAGATGGCGAACGCCTACGTCAACATGATCCCCAACGTGGTTGAATGTATGGAGCACGAGGAGACGTTTGACAGGATCTCGCAGTTCTCGCACAACAACGACAACGGCACGGACTCGGTTTGTGACCTGGAGGACTGCGAGGCGGACATCAGTCTGGACAGGATGTCTCCTTTCACACCGAACGGATTACACTGAGTCCCCCTGACCCCACCGCACCGACCCTCTCCACAGGAAGGCCAGCAGGGCTCCAGAGCTGCAGCTTGTTGTAGGAAGGCATAATGAAGGAGGGGGGGTCAGCTGCTGACATTTCATCAGGTTGCATATCTCTGCAGCACCAATCCTCCTCCTCCTCCTCCTCCTCCTCCTCCTCCCTCCTCCACCACAGCTTTGCATCATATATAAAGTGTGATGTTGTTGTCCTGTTCTGAACAAAAGTGATGTTTAGTGAAGTCCGTGTTCCTTTTGTTCAAAGGTTCAGTGTTGCTGAAGCTGATGTTTACTTAAAGGCTTTATTTGAAGCATCCTTGTCTAAGTTTCATCCACTTGGAGGAAAAAAATGTTTTAAAAAACTCATTTGGAGGTAACATGATGCTGATGAATAAGTTTATATTTCTCCAGTGCCCACCCTTTCATTGAGCATAACGATTGAGGGCCGCCTTACAGACAGTGCAACTAAAAGAAAAAGTCAAATGCAGTAATTTCAGCGCCTTATAGCTAAAAAAGGAGGGTAAATGAGACACGCAAGGAATGTGTCCTATGGAGTTTAAGTTACATGATGCCAAAATGCATTATTGAAGTGTTTCGCCACACAGCCCAACCCCAGTGACTTCTCTTTGAGCACACCTCTGCTCCGTATGGACTAGTCTGTTTCAAAAAAGCCACCGGCTTCTGAGATGAAAAGCACAACATTTACTGTGATGATATTTAGAGTCCGCTCTAATCCACATAAAAATGTGAATAAACTAACAAAGACATTCATGTTTTAATTGTTTGAACTATTTTCTGTCAACCTTATTTTTACGTTGAGGCCAAAGCTTGTTGTGGTTCAACTGTCTGGCTGTCTTAAGCGACCAAAAACTTAAAAAAGGTAGTTCAAACCTTTTGATGGGATTCTGCGGAAAGGATGTGAGCAATAAGTATCTTTTTTTGTTGTAGATAGTCATTTGAGCAATCCTAGTTTGGAGTAATATTGCTTAATTCTGACCAGACTGAGGAGAAAATAGTCTGAGCAGGGCTGAGATCAGAGAGGAATGTTGCTGCCTGAAAACAATCGGCCTCTAAAATTTCACACTCTTCATACAATGTTTATCTTTCAGCTGCTCCCTTTTTAAKGGTCACCGCAGTGAAAGAACCCACTTGAAAGATTTGGTAACTGTTTTTGCCAGATGACCTTCCTGACACAACCTGGGCTCAAACCCTCAACCTCAGGATTGCAAGGTGCTGACCACTGAGCTTCACAGCACTTCTTATTAGCYCTATTTTATAAACCTTTACACCACATTAACACTTATTCTGGCAGAAATATCATATTCCTGCTACAACTATTATTTGTGCTTGTAAATCACAGATTAATGTATAAATAACCAAAATCTGAGAAGCCAACGATGGTGTAAAGATAATAAACTGTATTCGAATGAACTGCAATAGCAGCAACGCATTTCAGTGTTGGTTTTATTTAACTAACTCATCAGCCTGGTCAGAATTAAACTCCATTTCTCCAAACTGAGGTCATTCAAAAAGTTATCTACAACAGGTAAGATATTAATCATTCTTAAACTTTCCATAGAACCCAACTTTAAAGTGCCTGTGACATGCATATCCTTGAAATACAAAATGTCAAATAAAACATTATATTTAAGAAACTTAATACATATGATTTTACCCTTTTTTCTCATTGCATATTTTCATTTGAACTTGGCTCAGCCAAAGTGAAACAAGATGGGAAACAGGAAGTGACATCAAAGGGGAACTTTTTTAAGAGAAAATGAACTCCCTGGTCTTTGCTTATTGAAACAATTTTATTTGAACTCTGACTCTTCTTCATCTCTCTGATAGAGACTCACAATAATCTAAACAAACATCAGATTATTTTATACAGTCTGTGTTGTTAGCTGTTGTAGGAATGCTCTGTTCACAGACATTACCTTTTGTCATCATTTCCTGTTACTGCACACTCGAATATCTCAAGAAAGTTTAATCTAAGCAGCGTGAATTTTTTTGAGACACACTATTAATGTTATCTTTCAAAAAATACATTTATGTTTATTATAAAATATTGATGTCACAGGCACTTTAAAATAACCAACATATCAGACAGAGTATATGTTTTGTCAGCTGGAAGAACCCTTTCTATATAAAACCCAAAAACACGTGAGAGCAGTTGACCAGTGTAGTGGTACTCAAGATCGGTCTTGGTCTTAAGACTGGTTTCAAGACCACTTTTTGAGGGTCTAGGTCTCATCTCAGACTCGACCGCATTTGTAGTCAGTCTTGCATCTGACCAGTCAAGACCACAACTGTGAAAATATCAAATATCAGAACATTGTCTAATTTATTTGTTAATATTTTTGTTTTCATTGGATGCAAACTGTACTGATTCAAATCCAAGCTTGACTCATTGATACTTATATATTTTGTTACTGCTGTCACACATCCCCACCCCCTTTTCACTGGCATGGCACTCCAAGAATGTGAGCAGTGGTTGTCTGGGAGCGGGAGGAGATGTCTGCAAAATTTTCAGTAACACAATTAAGCTACATAAATTGTAAAATTCAAATTCAAAAATACTTTATTGATCCCAGAGGGAAATTAGGTAAAGAATAGGTTTGTAAAATAATATCAAGGAAAAAGCGAACAGAGGCTTGTAAATTCTGCTGTGCTCCACGGTGGAGACTATGTCAATCTTTTATTGTCACTTAGAAAGGAATCACAAAGGAAGGTAAACAATGTGTAAGTGATGTTAGCAAAGCTTGCTAGCTAACTTTAGCAATCTGCCTCTGTACCAAAATTCTTTACGTGGCCCTCACACAAAGATTTGGTCAATTTTAAGTTAACTGCCTGTGTACAGTATACTGTATGTTTTAGGGCACTATAGTTTCCATTTTTCTTTCCAGTCTTGGTCTCGACTTGGTCCAGCCCCTAAAAGTCTTGGGCTTGTCTTAGTCTCAATACACTCTGGTCTTGGTCTTGACGTGGTTTTGGGTTAAGTGGTCTTGACTACAACACTACATTTGACCAACACAACTGGATGTCACTTCTTCCACATCTTTGTACTGTGCAGATGACCTGACCTGAATGTATTACTGTCCTTTAAATGGTGAATTGTGTCATCATTTGTCTAATAAAATGCTGTCATGCAGAGAGGGACACGGTGCTTTACTGTCATCTCCAATCTTTGTTGACCCGTAAACAGAGATCCTCAGAGGAATCAGGGGACACTGTGGAAGCTGCAACTCCTCAGGACTCTTTATTATGTTCAGTTTCCACAAGTTCAGAAAGCTGCAGATACAGACACAAACAAGAGTGGAACAGGGTGCAGTAGCTTAATTATTGCCCAGCGCTAATAGGCGAAGGAGGGCTGCTAATCAGCCAAAGGACAAATTTGATTGAAACTAACATTAAACGTATATCTTCAACTCATTACCTTTTGGAGTCAACCTGATTATAATGGCTGCCTTCGTCGGTTGACCTCGAGAAACAAAAATTTGCCACAACTCAGTCAGTTTTACAGTACTTTGTGTGTTAGTAATAGAAACTAGTTTTCAACAAATTCTGTCTATATTTAAATTGTTGCCACRCTGGCAGTCTGTTGGCAAAATATCCTATGAACCACCAAACTGATTAGAATGGATTTTTCAGGAAATAATCATTGGATGACTCAACAATTCAATATGGCTGCCACAACCAAGTGTTTTTTGACACTTTTTGCAGATTTCCTGCTAAACTTTGATGCAGTAGTAGGAAAAAAAGTAATTCCTGATACATATTTCATGTGCTACTTGTTGATGATGGGGTATTTATTTCATTTTTTTCAAGCTCATTTGGTTCAGCTTACAAAAAAAGGCTTATTTGGCTCCCAAATGACTTTTTGCTTAAAACTGCGTGTGAACAGCTGGTTCTGGGACAAAAACAGCTGGCTCAGAGTTGGGTCTTTCATCTCAGCAAAAGCCAACTTGAAAACCAGTCACGCAATCTTCTAAAAGATTTGTGTTCCAAAGCTGTATAGGGACTAGAAAAACTACAATGGTGCTTCAAAGCAAAACAGACACTGAAAACTATTTTTAGATCCGTTTTTTGTTCTTCTCCTCCTTTAGCAAGTTTCATATTATACTGTACATTGGAGGGTTTTCTTTTTTACAGTATCAGTGAAAAAGTGAAAACATAAGCTACGCCTTCTGATAAGAGAAGAACCCAGTCGGTGCCAATTACTAGTACTTACTGTAGGTGCTGCAGCCATTAAGCCTGATTACACTCAGGAAGCTATTTACTGCAACGTGTTCATGTACAGTGAGAAAAACAAAACAGGGGGAAAAACAAAATCTCACCAAAGTAACCTTATTGTGTAAAAGCTTCTCTGTATTGGCTCTGAACATGAGTTTTTATATTTAATTAATACTCTAAGTATTTTGCTATAAATGTTACAAAACTAACCACATTAACAAAGAACTTCTCAAATCTTAATATATTTTTTCATTCATCTACACATTTTCATTCACATTCTGCACAATGCTGGATCACACAACGGTGAGCACATTAAAGACAACACAATCYGACACAATTGTATGTGCGGTAGAGAATGTCAGGGTCAAACCTCTGACCCGCTCTGGCTGCTCTCACTCCTGAGCCCGAGCTTTCTTCTCATCAGCAGGCGGTGGATAAATTATTGAGACGGAGGAACTCATCCGGTTCTACACATCCGACTTTGTTCCAGYGTCTCAGTGAGAGAAACAGGCCAGGGTAAACTCCTCTAATGCTCAGTGCTAATGTTTGGAGGGTAATTCTTTTAAATAAAAATCAGCAAACTTTTTAAAATTTGATTATTTATCAGCAACATTGTTGTGTTTCTGATATGTAAAATTGCAGATTTTTTAGTGAGTGAGGTTAAGTTAGGAAATGGTGGTGCATAATCAACAAAACTTGAGTAAAAAAACTTTAAAATCAAGATGCACATTTGTCACAGAAATACACCGTTCAATATCTAATACCTAAGCATGAAATTAAAATGCTAAAACACAACACAAATTATTTGCCATGGAAAAAGTTTGACAAAATGATCCATCATTATCAACCACTGTTGAAGATAGAAGAGGTTTTTTGGCCTGTGTGCGTTTGTCTGTTAGCAGAATATCTCATGAATCAATAGCAGATTATATTGAAACAGAATGTAATTATTGGATGAACATAAACAAAACTGATTAACTTTAGGAGTCAGTTCCATAAGATGGCCATTTCAGCTAATTACACAAAATCAGTTTTAACAGATMTTTAGTTGAAATATGGTGTAGTAGATGCTGAGCATAACCCTCAAAACACACTTCAAGCACCACATGCTGCGCAATATTTTTGCTTTGCACTTTGGCATTAACTGTTAGCAAAATATTTTCAGAACCACTAGATGGATTTGAACAAAACTCTCAGAATAATCACTGGATGTACATCTATAACTGATTAAATTGCAACTCAATTAAAGATGACTGGCACATTTATKCACAGCATACACAAAAGTGATTATAACACAGCCAATATTAAGCTATAATTCAGTGTAGTAGCAGCAGAGTACAACACATACTCTGAGTGCACACATTGTGCAACATTTTTGCTTAAAACTTTGGYACTGGACAGATTTCAAGGAAACTTTCAAAACAGTAATCATCGGCTCATCTAAAATTCATTAACATTTATGCTCCACGGCTAAAAACTGCACTCCTGTTTGGTGCAGATCCACTCATGCTAAAATGATAGCCCCCCCCCCATTCAGGCTCTCTGGTGTTGCTCCACCTGTAAAAAAATCAGCAAATTTGTGAAAAATTAAGCACCCTGCAGCCCCCACTATATGTCCATTCACCAGCCTCTAAAATGGATTTAACAGAACTAATTGTAGTGGTTACAAACATTATTTAGTGAGTGATATAGGAAACATTTAGAACACGTGTCAAACTCAAGGCCCTTGGGCCAAATCTGGCCCTCATTAACATTTTATCTGGCCCCAAATGTGAAATAGTTTGATGCTTTCTCTTTTTGTCTTCGTACACAAGCATGATGTCATGTTAAGTTTGGTGGAGATGTGAAGAATGCCTTGGAGATTGTTCACGCAAAAGTTGCAGTTAGTTTGTAGTATTTTTTTAAATAAGAGGCATACATTATACATTTTATTTCTTTTTTGCACCCTTTTCATTCAGTGTTAGTTTTTTTAAATGACATATTTTGTTCTTTTGTTAAACAAATAACATACGTGCAACATTCTTCCCATGACAGCCGGACAATTTTCAAGCTAAGAAAATTAAGTTTGAAATTTTCCGTAATCTTTAATCTTGGTGTGAAAAGAGAAACAGAAAATCAAATTATATATATTTTTTACTGTTGTCAGGTGGAACCCAAACTGCAAGCAGACAAAAAAAAACAAAAAAAAAAAACAGAACAGGTTTATTAATTAACAAAAGAAAAATCTGACATGGCAGCAAAGGACTAAGAAACAACAACGACAAATAGGAAACATGAATGAAAAAAAATCCGACAATAATCCACTGGGGCAGACATGAGACCACTAAAAGACAACTGAGGATAATTGGGGAGTGGATGGGAGCACCTGGGTGATCACAGATTATAGACAGGTGTGAATGGCAGGCTGGAAAAACACTAAGAAGCTGACTGAGGGCAACATGACACAGGAAACAGAAAACTAACAGGAAAGGAAAAAAACAAAAACACAATAGTGCCAAATAATGAAACAGAAAAATCATAAAACAAGAAT